GGCATAGCTTGGGAGGCTTAGAGACTGAAGATCCTTTTTTTTTGTTTACCTTTTTGTGTATTACATGTAAATTCAAGCCGAGGGCTTAATGTGTATGAGTTAGTACTCTTTTTTTTGTAACCAAGTGTTGGCTTGGAAAGTTGTAAGCCCGTAGGGCATTTACTTTTATTGTCAACATGTAATACTTTTATGATAAATACTCTGATAAATAGATGTACACTTTATTCTCTTGAATATATTGTCAATTTCTTGTATCATGAATACATGAATTATGAGTTTATTTTGAGGGCAATACAGAAAATTCCGTACAAACAACAAACCTAAACGCATTTCTTTCTCATGATCAAGGCAGCAACTCCAGTCTACAACACTATGAGACATTTTGCCTACAAAAATTACAATCTTTATTTCGGTAACATAGCTCAAATAGAAAGAAAGCATTTGCCTAGTTTTTCATGGCTTTCTGATTGTGCCCAACACTATGAGACATTATGCCCTCAGAGATGAGCTGCACTTTAATCTTCAGATTTACTGAAGCAAAATCCTCCAAAAGGTGCTGCTCATGGCCCCACAAGGACCTGGTCATAACAATAATGAGTTTTCATGTCCACTTCATCCATCTAATCTATATAATAAGGAAGCTCAGATTTTTGAATCTGGATGGGACTTTTGTCCCTTTGTCCAAATTTTGACCATTAGATTGATTTAATCTAAGGGCTAAAATCATCCCACTCTCATCTCTATCAACATACACTCTCTCAACACACACCCTCTGTCTCTCACAGATACCCTCTCCTCTCTTTTTGTTTTCAAATTTTGAACACTCTCTCTCTCTCTCTCTCTCCACCTCCATTGGAGCCCATTCCCGAACTTCCCTGTCATGCTTCCCTTGCCGTGGTTCCCTGTCTTCATCTTCTCTCTTCCTCTCTCCCTCTCTGCCGTCAACAGGGGAACATCAACAAGAGAGTCGTCACTGCCGGAACCGGACCGAAGTCTGTCCCCGGCCAGAGCATCACCGTCACAGTCCCCGGTTACCCCTCTCTCTCTCTCTCTCTCTCTCTCTCTCTCAGAACTGAACTAGGAGTTGAACATATTTCTAATTATTTTCATCATTTCTCACACCTCACAAGATCATGTCATGTTTCCCCTCTCTACCAATCCGTATTTCTGCCACAACAAAATGACTCCATTGTTGCCATCACTAAAGTTGGAAAATGACTCCATGGTTTCCCCTCTCTACAAATATCCAATATTATTTATGGTTTGCTGTAATGAGCTAATTCAAATTATTATTATTTATTTATAAATATCCAATATTATTTATTATTTATTTATTTACAAATTATAGATCTACAATGAGTCTTTTCTTCCCCTAACTCAACTCTCAGTTGGAAACAATATGCTTTGCTAACAAAATGGGACAATGTAAGTTAAAGATGAAGTTTCCCACGAAGGCATTTGAGACTCAAAATTCAAATGCATCACTGTATTTGTGTGTATATATATGTAATGGGTTTGAAATGTTTGATATGGTTAATTTGAAATGTTTGATGTTGAACATAGTTTTGATTTATGAAATGGGTTTGATTATTTAATGGGTTTGATTTATGAAATGGGTTTGAAACGGGTTTGATGATTTATGTTGAACATGTATGTATTTGTGTGTATTATATATATCATTATATATATAATTTGCATTTTGGATGTATATAGATGTATATGTATGTATGTAATGGGTTTGAAATGTTTGATATGGTTAATTTGAAATGTTTGATGTTGAACATAGTTTTGATTTATGAAATGGGTTTGATTATTTAATGAGTTTGATTTATGAAATGGGTTTGAAATGGGTTTGATGATTTATGTTGAACATGTATGTATTTGTGTGTATTATATATATCATTATATATATAATTTGCATTTTGGATGTATATAGATGTATATGTGTATATATATAGATGTATGTAATGGGTTTGAAATGTTTGATATGGTTAATTTGAAATGTTTGATGTTGAACATGGTTTTGATTAAACCAAACAAGGCCATCAAAATATATAATCTACTTATAAGTCTCAGTGAATCTCACATTATAATAGTAGTCATTGTTTGGCTCCCCAGGTCCCCTATTTTGAGAGAGTATATTATAATAGCAGTCATTGAGACAGTGAGGGTGATGGAAAGGATTAGATTTTGTTTATTTACTGTTCTGCAGATTTTGGCAGAAACCCTGTAACTGAGGGATGGGTTTTAGGGTAGTAATGAGACACTATTTGGCTCACTGATTAAGCGTTTTATTTATTTTGTTTTGTTTTACTTTTTTGAAAAGATGTGTTGAAGTGTTTATTTATTTATTTTTTTAATTTCTTAATAGTGTAATAGGGAAAAAAAATACACAAATATAAAGGGTTACAAATGAGATTTGCATCCCCATAATTTTTTACTTACACCTCATAACAGAATCACTTATATCTCATATGTCTGTATTTTTTTTTTGGACTTCACTGTTAAGTAATTCCCCCATTTTTTAAATATATGTACTATATGTAAATTATGATATTTATAAAATTAATGATTATAAATGTCATAATTGAATTCTTTTAATGTTGTAACTAAAAAAAAAATTTAATATCACAGTAATATTATAATTAACTATCAAAAAATTTAATATCACAGTAAAAATTTAATGTTGAATTCTTTTATGTTGAACATGTATGTATTTGTGTGTATTATATATATCATTATATATAATTTGCATTTTGGATGTATATATATGTATATGTGTGTATATATATATATATAGATGTATGTAATGGGTTTGAAATGTTTGATATGGTTAATCTGATATGGTTAATTTGAAATGTTTGATGTTGAATATTGTTTTGATTTATGAAATGGGTTTGATTATTTAATGGGTTTGATTTATGAAATGGGTTTGATGATTTATGTTGAACATGTATCTATTTGTGTGTATTATATATATCATTGTGAACACACACCCTCTGTAATCTGATGGCTCTATTTTTTAATACACATGCTCTAATATCTAGAAATCTTTTTTTTCTCAAAGAGTCAACTTGGAATTTTACACAAATTGTTAGTGTTAATGGGACAATTATATATGTTGTTTAATTATTGTTTTTTTTTCTTTGATTCAACTAGGTCTTTCCTTGCTGGACTCTGTTGTTTAAAAAATTCAACTACAGTGTTTCTTTCATTTGTCCTTTTAAATTTGTATATTAAAATAAAAAAAATTGATTAGTATAATTAAGATGGTCACAATTGTTGACAAATAGGGTTCTATCATTAGAGAATAGAGAGATGAACTCTTGCCAAATTTTGGCATTGTTATAATTTGGCACCAAAAAATAGCACATGAATTGGAAGTGTTGTTGCCAAATTTTGGCTTTCGCATGAAGGGGAAGCATACCATTAGAGTTGCTCTAACATGCAATTTTCATGTCATTTGAATCTTTAAAGCTGCTTTGCCACGTTCCAATATGCATAATTGATTAGTACAATTAAGATGGTCACAATTGTTGACAAATAGGGTTCTATCATTAGAGAATAGAGAGATGAGCTCTTGCCAAATTTTGGCATAGTTATAATTTGGCACCAAAAAATAGCACATGAATTGGAAGTGTTGTTGCCAAATTTTGGCTTTCACATGAAGGGGAAGCATACCATTAGAGTTGCTCTAACATGCAATTTTCATGTCATTTGAATCTTTAAAGCTGCTTTGCCACGTTCCAATATGCATTTTTTATTTATTTATTATGGGGTATAGGTTATTTGAGAAATAAACATAATTGACATTTTTTTTGTGGTGTTTCTTTTGATAAATGTGTATGAATGCGCACTAAATCTGAGCATGTTAATGAATAGATTTAAGCATCCATTTTATGAAGTTTTAATACATATCGGAATGTATTATCAAATATGTAAAACAATTATATGTATTTGTTTACATGTGGTATAATCATAATAAGTTGCAAGTCTTCCCATTTAATAACTTCTGTTGTGGGCAACTTTTATGGCCTTAATTGGTTCCATATTAGTGTATTAGTTTTATGTTTTTGGGCCAAAACTTGAAAATTGAACTGCAAGTCCACATGACATTTGGTTATATATGACTAGGGACAATGCAAATATTGAGAATACAGATATCCCAAATATTGAATCAACTCTTTTATATATAGATACGATTATGGTTACTTGATCTAAAATGGGTTTTGAAGATGGTTTTCAAGATTGTTTTGAAATGGGTTTTGAAGATGGTTTTGAAATGGATTTTTAGAAGGTTTTAATTTATAAAAGAGTAAGGATTGAATATGGTTTTCTTTTTTAAAAAATGGTTAAAGCTGATTGAATATGGTTTTCTTTTTTTAAAAAATGGTTAAAGCTGATTGAATATGGTTTTGGAATTTTTCAAAAATATTTGCTGAAAAAAAATAGTAAGGATTGGAGTACTCCTATCAAATTAAGTTTTTAACCAAGATTTCAATTGAATTTGATGAAAAAAGAAGAGTAAGGATTCGAAATATCATTTAGTTGTTGATGGATGGAAGATATTTTTTTTAGGGGAAGAAGACAGTTGCAGATGTTATGCCAATTGCTACAGGTCATGAGTGTGAAGAACTTTAGGCCGAACTCAAGGTATCCTATTGTTTATTCAGTTCAATTCATGTGTCTGATCCGTATGTGTAATACCATATACATTTGATAGTTTGAGAGAGAATTGAATATGAATTTAATCCAATTCTTTCATTTAGGGAAGGAATGTTCTGGAGATGAATTATCCAGTTGGACCTTTTGTCCCCAAGGTTTGAATTATTGGACCTTTGCTGTGTACTGTGATTTCTGCTTTACTTTGATTGTGCTTTCATTTGTATCCATTGAGTTCTGCTTTATTTATATGCATTTTGATCCCAATCTGATATGCATTTATAAAATTAATTTGAAATGTTTGATTTCTCACATGGTTTTATGTATCTGCCACATCCAATTGTGGGAAATTATTTTTAATGTTTATAAAATTATTTTTCCAACATCTATAGTCCTAGGGGTGTGGATAAACATCTACATCTTATGTTTATACATAGAAATTATTTATGTATCTGCCACATCTATAGTGGCAGATAAACATCTATTGTGGAAACATCATCCAATGGGTTTGATTCTTTAATGGGAAATGGGTGTTGATTTTCTATGGTTTTGAAAAGCTTTTGATTGATAAAATCATTGGAACAAAGACTTAAGTGGGTCTTTCTGAGTAGAGAATTCTAATTTTACATAACAAAACAGAGGGTGTTTTTTTTTAAAAAAAAAAATTGGAAATTGGAAGAAGAAAAGAAACATACATTTTTTGTGTTGGATGGGTTTAGTTTTTGTGGGTTGAGAAAAGAATGGGTTGTTTTTTTGTATTAATTTTTGACTTTTTAGCTAATGTTTCAAATTTAACCAATATAAATAGGAGTTAAATTAATCTTTTATTTTTATTTTTATATATGATTATGGACATATATATATATATATATGGATGTATATATATATATATATCTATATATATAATTCCAAACCCCAAACCCCCCATTTATGTATGATTCCAATATGTATATATAATATTGAGAAGCCGTGTCTAAGAAAGCCATGTCTAACAAAACTTGTGCCAATTAATTAACAAACTGAAGTGGGTTTTCTGCTTTCTAGGCAACCAAACAAAGGGTCATTTTTTTTTAATAAAAAAAAATGGAAAATTGGAAGAAGAAAATAAACATACCTCCCTCTGCCTCTTAGGGCATGTTTTTTGTGTTGAATGGGTTTATTTTTTGTATTAGTTTTTTATTTTTTATCTAATGTTTCAAATTTAACCAATATAGATAGGAGTTAAATTATTCTTTGTTTTTCTTTTTTTTTTCTCCTTGAATTACACTTAGGGCATGTTTGATTAGCAGTATTAGTGGTACTATTTTATTAACCTGTTAATCAAATAAGGCCTTAGTTTGAGTTTTATTTATTGCATAAAACACCTGTTTATTAGTTTGTATAGCATTTTGATAACATTCGAATTTATTAGTTTGTATAGCAGTTTGATAACAATTGAATTTTATTAGTTTGTAAAATTAATCTATTAGGAGTTAAATTAATAGTATTAATGGTACTATTTTATTAGGGCATGTTTGATTACGAGTTAATTAATTTTATTAACAAATAAGGCCTTAGTTTGAATTTTATTAATTTTATTACGAGTTAAATTAAATTTTTTTTTTCCTTTTCTCCTTCAAGGACACTTAAGGCATGTTTGATTAATAGTATTAATGGTACTATTTTATTAACCTGTTATCAAAGTGGTACTATTTTTATGAAATTATTTGTTGGCTTTTTAACTTTATGAAACAAAATTTGCTGTCTAAATATCTCAAAATAGAATGACTATGGAGGATCAATAGATGTATTCCATTCCACTGCATTATTTTCTGTGAGTTGGAGAGGCATTTGAGTGCGACAAGATGAAAAAAGAAGAGAGAATGTAATAGTGCTATTCTTATATACAAGAAATATTATCTTTCTTGGTAAAAAGTGTCATTGCCCACATGAAATCACTATAATATTTTGGGCACCAAAAAATGCCATCACACATGAGAAATGTGTTTGGGGCTTCAAGAATATATTTTTTTCATTTGTGTGTAAGTGGCTTCTTATTTTGTCATGGTGGCTGACCACAATCACTTTTCAAAATAGGCAATGGCTTTTTTTAATTTTAATTTTTATTTTTATTAAACTAATTTGAAATTGATTATTTTATTGTATACATTTTTATTTGCATAAGGCTTAGTTTGGTTTACTCATCTAAATTTGTTTGTTTCATCTGAGATGGTCCTAAAACAATTTGTGATCAATGTAACTTTTGATATAGTGGTCTTCCTATGGTTTTTTTGATATACTATTCAGGGCTATATTTGTTTGGGTATGCTACATAATACATAATTTCTCTTAAAAGTTTTACGAAAAATCATCTAGCCTTTGTTGGTTGATTGATTGATCCTAAACATTTTTGGTTGTTTGATCACAACTTTGAGACACTTTTCACAAAACATTTTTATGGTTGTTAACTTTTTTGCAACACATAGATTGTAATATAAGAATTTTATTAGATAGTGTATTCAGGCACAGGCATAAAACACCTATTTATTAGTTTGTATAGCATTTTGATAACATTCGAATAGTTTAGTTTGTATAGATTTTGATAACATTTTAATTTGATTTACAAATAATGGGGAAAATGGAAAACTGAGTTTTGATTTTTCTTTAGTGTTTATATTTCTATCTCTGGATATAAGTCTATAATTGTATTTTATGTATGTATGGCTTTTTAAATAGAGAGAATAAGTTGATTTTATGTGTTAGTTTTTGGCTTTTTAGCTAATTTTCCTATTCGCAAACAAATTTAACCAAAATAAATAGGAGTTAAATTAATCTTTTGTTTTTTCTTTTCTCCTTGAATGACACTTAGGGCATGTTTGATTAGTAGTAATAGTGATACTATTTTATTAATCAAAGGTACTACCCGTTTATTAGTTTGTATAGTATTTTGATAACATTCAATTTTGATTTACAAATAACCTCTACGATTTATTAAATGTCATTCATACACAACCAACCAAGCATTAATTAGTAGCTAACAATTGGCCAAATGGAAATCTGAACTTTGATTTTTATATTTCTATCTATCTTTAGTAGCTAACCAACCAACCATCCATAATCTTTTGTTTCAACAATATTGACAACAGGTTTGAAGCATTGAGTCTGAAGCATTGTGGACTTCTTTAAGACCTTTCATATCGAAACAAGGTAAATTAATCTTTTATTTTTATTTTTATTTTTATATATGATTATGGATGTATATATGATTCCAAACCCCAAACCCCCTCTTTATGTATGATTCCAGTATGTATATATATATATATATATATATTGAGAAGCCATGTCTAAGAAGGCCATGTCTAACAAAACCTGTGCCAATTAATTAACAAACTAAAGTGGGTTTCTGCTTTCTAGGAAACCAAACAGAGAGCGTTTCTTTTTTTTTTTTTAATAAACAAAATGAAAAATTGGAAGAAGAAAATAAACATACCTTCATCTGCCTCTTAGGGCATGTTTTTTGTGTTAAATGGGTTTTTTTTTGTATTAGTTTTTGACTTTTTATCCAATGTTTCAAATTTAACCAATATAGATAGCAGTTAAATTAAAACAAGGCCTTAGGGCATGTTTGATTGGTAGTATTAGTGGTACTATTTTATTAACCTATTAATAAAACAAGGCCTTAGTTTGAGTTTTATTTTGTTTGTAACATTCGAATTTATTAGTTTGTAACATTCAATAACATTTGAATTTTATTAGTTTGTAAAATTAACCTATTTGGACTTAAATTAATCTATTATTGATTTGAATTTTATTAATTTTAGATTGAATTTTATTAATTTTATTAGGAGTTAAATTAATTTTACAGATGTGGTAAGTATGGAAATCTAAACCACATTTCGTATTTTTCTATTTCAACAAAAAGGCCCTTATAGAATTCATGAGTTAATTTTTTAAATTCATACTGTGGTATCATACTGTTTGATTTCTTAAATTCATACTTTGGTTTGAATTTGTGGTATTATATACTGTTCAAGCTTTATTAAATCCGAACTTTTTGTGTCAAACAGTTTTAGGGGATTAATCAATAAATCGGATAGTTTTTGGCCAATAATGACCTCCATATGTGTTTGTGTTTCTAAGAATTTTGAAAATATTCTATCTTATTTGGTAATAAACCTAGGGATTAATCACTACATTTTTATTTTTTATTTCGAAAACAGTTTGGTTTGTATACACTGTATTGGTTTCATGTCTTAGATGTGTTCAAGTTTTTACCTTTTCTATAAGATGTGTTCCAGGTCTTAGATAGCATCAGTTGGATCTCAAGTTCTAAAATTAATTAGCTTCGTTATAGGAATTCACCCAATTTTGATGTTGTTTGGATTCAGATTGTGTTACCAATACCTGAAAATGTTTGGAGTTAAATTATTATTTTCAAATTGTGGATTTATTGCAAATCTTTTGTTATTTGTTAATTTCAATAAATACATTCTTGGAAACACAACTCCTTTTGGTGGCGGAAAATGATTGTTGGGTTATTAGTTTGTCATATGTGTGATTTTTTTTTCCAATGTGATTTTTTATTAATTCCTTGAATGAGATATTTTATCATATGAATTAACTGTGGATTTCAAAATGATTGATGATTTTTTATTAGTTTGTCATATGAATTAACTTTATAAATTTTGCAGTTCCATTTAAACTTATTTTAGTTCAATTAAACTCAACAAAGCTTAAGCCATTGATAGGTTTGATTCCATTTAAGTATCGATTGATTGCTTCATTTGGTTTCACTTGGTGAATTAAAATAACTTTTGTATTTACATAAGTTATGTATTCCAAAACCTTTACAGGTTAACTTTTTTATTATGTATTTACTGAATTCAACTTTTGTATTACAGGTTTTGGCAATATTAAGCTGGAATGACCTCTAACATTATGGATAATGTAAGTTGTCTTTTTTAAAAAAATTGGTACATAGATTTTAAAAAAACTTTTGTATTATAGGTTCTGATTATAAACTGTAATATTCGTTCCCTTTACTCATCGTCTTATAAAATTTCAATTTGTGTATATATTAGCTACTTATTTGTTTTTGTATGTATAGGTTCAGTTTATTCAACAAAGAAATGTCGGTGTAGTGATTCGTGATGAGCATGATTTCAATGTCGTTCATATTTCTAATGTTAGCCCAAAAATCACTTTCTTATCATTTTTTATTTATTTATATTT